ACCATGCATAAATACATAAACGAACGCGCGCGACTTTGATCACGTGAATTCAATGATGTGAGTTGTTTAACTGCACTCAGTCAGCGAGGGAGTCAAGCAGACCGCGTGTATGACTAGATGTTGAAATGTAAATGTAGGTGTGCACCGCACTCTACCGATAGGGTAGAATGAACCTTGTAAATGTAACCAGTAGTCGTTCAAGAGTGTATATATATATACAAGGTCGTGAGAAACGTTCAACTTTCGATGTCATCGTCCTGGCCTTGACGCTCAAGTCAACCAACTCACTTTCGTAAATCCTGTGTTCCGCTAATGTAATCAGCTGCGAGACAGGAATTTCCGGGATCCGGTTTCTCCGAACGCTCAAGTTCAAGTTCAAATATATTTCTACTCAATCGAGCGTAAAATATTTCGATATGACCTTTAAACGAGAACAATTTTTTTTTTAGAAATTACTTGTAGACAAATTGCAATTAGAGTCACGATTTATTCTCATTTCCGGTTTTTTAACGCTGTAGGTTATGTATGAACCCTGTGAACTTTATAGATCGCGTGAAGTTAAGATTTCAGGAGATGAAGATTATGTACTTACTCTTCACTCTCGATACTGGTATTATTAGTGATTTATTGCCGTATTCTTAGCAGAAGATATTTAACCGTTTCTTCACCAAAGATAAAAGGAAATAATTTCTTAGTTAAAACACAATTTAAATATATCTAAAAAATTATTATTCCCCAAAATCGACTTGAAAACTACAAATAAAATTTAGGTGACAAAAACGTTGACACTTAAAAATGGTCTAACATATAATATAATTTTTCGATTGTGTAAATTACAAATACTTTTTTTTTAAATCAAGTTGAGAATTCGATTGTTGCATTTTGGATTTGCTATTTTGGAACCAAGTGGTCCAAATGCAGTTGTTGTTACTCTATCCTCTTGTTTTACATTATATGGAATTATTATTACCTAAAAATCTATTTCTATCGAAATTGTTATCACGGTATTTGATTTGGATTTTTATTAGAATTTGCATATTCTTGAATTATTTGAGAATAGCCAGAGTTACAATTTAACAAAATTTCGTTGCGAATTTACTGAAAGTGTTAATAGATGGTAAATTTTTAATTACAACGTAATAAAATAAACGAGAACATGGTTTATTTACCATAAGGATAAGGATTCTGCTCTCTCACTCTCTTTCTCTGATGTATAACTGGAAATTTGAAAATATACTGAAGTGATGGCTTAAAGCAGACTAATAAATTGGCTCAAACATTACTTCCTTGATAATTGTCATGTTACTTAAGGGAAAGATTAATTTGAAACTATTCGACCAAGAACATATTCACTTCCCCCACCTCTTCGTTTCGAGTCAGACGTGTTTGATTTTTCAGTGAGCATTTTCTTGTATGTACAACTGACATTGAATATGATTAAGAAGGTGTGCGCATTGCTCTTTAATTAAGGTGTAACTCGCTGTAATAATTTCTTCTCTTTACATAAAGTATTACTAATCTCAAGATTGTAAATTAAATTAATCTTTTTTTTTCTCTACCTTTTTTTTCATTTAAAGACAAGTACACGATTTTGCTCACTTGTGAGTTGAAGCTTCCTAGAATGCATAAAATATGAAACCACCCGTTGAGTTTTTGAAGTATTGCTGCGCTCATGTCTGGCTTCCAAGGTATAAAGAGAATTTAGTGATTCTCATGGAAGATTCGTTAAAATCAGCGTAAAACTGGGAGTTAATTTACTCATGAGAACGCTAATTAATAATTTTAAAACTCCTTCTAATATCTTTAAAAATATTGCCAAGTTGTCATTAAATTAAGACCTTTTATGAAATTTGAATTGATCGTTGACTTTAATGTTTTACTATTTTGGCGATTGAGTGATAAAATGTTTGTACTCACGAAAGCTTTTTCAAAATTTTAACTAATTGGGTCAAACAAAAAAAAATAAGACTTGAACTTAATTAATCTAACGGTACAAGGTATAAAAAATTCTAAGCCTAATTTACAAATATCAATAAACGCTTATTTATAACATTTTTCATTAATCATCTAACTTTACTACTGGTTTATTACCTTTTAATACGTTCCTATTTTTTACCAACAAAAAATTAAATTAATTTATTACTGAGCTCAATTAAACTCAAGGTGTAGGATAATAAACTTTTAAAAAAATCGACATTAAGTTCAATTACAAATTTAAAAAAATTTTAAGGTTTGCATATAAAATCAAATAATTTTATAATGGTCTAAAAATTTGATTTTCAACTACTTAAAAAAATGTTTTCCGCACTTATATTGCCATTACCTTATTTAAAAAAAAGTGTAAGACAAGATGTATAATAATAACAATTGAGAAACGATAATAAAAGTAAAACATTTTAACTGTATAATAAAGAAGAAAATAATTAAATGATCAAAAATAACTTTCCTGACAGGTGAATTGAAAGAAGAAGAAAATGATAGATTCCAATAAAAACTGACACAGGCAAACTGACACATTAAGTGTACATTGCTTCAGGGTAGAGATATTTTTTCCTCTTAACTTCTTTTTAGTAAAATATTTACATCGAAATAATAAATAAAGAATGGAACGTGTACTTTGAATCACGAATACACGAGGCTTGTGAAATTTTTCACATAATTGAAGTAGTGAGGCGCAACAACGAATTTTCTTTATTGGAACGAAGAGGAATTCATCATTATGTAAATAAAAGCAATACCGAGGATCGTTAAATGCGCAAAGTTGCTTGAAAACATGTCTATCGCATGATTCGAATATTGCAGATGAAAAATGAAGGGATCTTTTAAAAAGTCAGAATAATTGTGACAATACAATTTACTTTTGGAGGCATTTCTTTTTTCGGAACTCCCAATTTAATTATCATCATGTGCTAAGTCAAAAGACTCACTTGCTACCGAATCATAAATTTAAACTTAAAACCAATAAGAATTTACGATTGAAAGTTCTCTTCGTGACTGAAAATTTATGAGTGTTTTAAACCACAGGAACAAGTCAGGAAACAAAGTTTACAAATAAACCATAAATTAAATTACAATGTAGATAAAAACACACATTCTGGCTAAATTGCAAAAGCATTTTAATTATTATAAACCAAAAAAATTGGATTTTTGATCTTAGAACGAAAAAGCATTCTTAAATTCACAATACAACAAGTTATTAACTCTTTTTCACTTATTCGAGTAGAAAAAATATGCTTTCATTTTAGCGCAGGAAATTGTCTGTCAGTTGGGTTTCTATAATTTCAGAGGAAGATGGACATAACTCAGAAAGGCATGAATACCTACTTACATAGGGATTTCTCTAAACATGCCCTGGTGAAAGACGAAGAAGAAGAAGAAGAAGCCATTTGTGTCAATAGCTTCTTTTTTCAAACCACAAACTATATTTATGTATATCGATTTACAAAAGTGAATCGTGTACGATCACGATAAAACTTCTCCTTCAAAATAAAAAGAGGAAACAAAAAATGATCATATAATATTAGAATTGCAAGTCTATATTGATTGCCATGACCACACGATCATAGCTCCTGGTTATCCCGCTGTTTTACGAATTATTATCAACCACGAAATACGTTTATCTTTTATTGCTCCCCGTTTATTACTCTTAATTGCATCCTTAACAGTTGAATCACTTCGTAAATTCTATATTTTCTCAACTAGAATCTCTTCGTTAATTCTACTGTTCCCTCCATTTTTCCAAGAGTTCTAAGAGTTCCAAGTTTTTAATTTTATCCTAAAGTGAGAGATTTTTTCTCTGACACTTTGATTTTGACTTACAAATTAACGACAAACGTATAGGCTCTTGCTAATTTTGATTTTCCTACAGTTTATTTCGGTTAAAGTAGAAAATATTGGTTTGGACCTAATAAAATAAATATTGATGGAAATTTCGATCAATAATAAAAGTTGAAACTCTGATTCGGATAATTTATCAAAATTTAGAAATAGTTAAATATTTATTTCACTGGATGGAAATTTAGTGTAAACAAGTCACGCTATATTTGCATATTACTTTATAGAAATTTTGCAAAACCCTATAGATTCACTATATATTTAAATGAAACGATATACGGTTAAATAAGTGAGAATATAAAGTAAATAACAATTAAAATAAATCAGAAGTTAAATAAATTGAAAATAATGTAAACGGTGCAAAATCTATATTGCGTGTCTTGAGACGATATTTTAGTATTTAATTGACTTGAAGAGATTTGTTGAATCAACAACATGTTGGTTTGTAACGAACCAGTTTTACTCGTATAAATAACACATTTTTTTTCTCCTCTAAACCGACTTGAAAATCATCCCCCATTTCATGTTGGTTTAATTGAATTTTCTCATCAAATAATTTCATTAATAAGGAATGTTACTTTTTCCCACACGGAAGAATTTAATTATAAATATTCATTTTGTCGCTAGAACTAAAAATAGTCGAATTCTTAAATTTCGTCTGACGATCGGCAAATAGACTTTAAACCAAGATCTACTACAGATGACCCCGTGTCGATAATTCGACACTTTGGATTATTAACTTTACGGATTGGGATCATTAAAATGATGAATGATTCTTAGTTGTGGAAGGTGTAGGGCAAAGCATTAATTCAATGGAATGGCATTATCACTTTGAGAGCCAAGCTCACTGTATATAGCAGTCGGATGTTTATCGCTGTGAAAGCATACGCCCCCTGTCGGAAATTCAGTTGGCCATATGTATTCGAATAGAAGGAGGCTTTCCGCTATAAACACTCTAGGAGTCTCGAAACATTTAACCCAAGATCTCAACTACAAGCAAAATAATAAATTTTATCTTCTCTTTATGTCTTCCGTGCTCTCAAACTTGATCAGATATGTCAAACTTTATGCTACTTGATATAAAACGAGGGAACTTTTTCCCAAATTTGCAACTTGTTTTCAAAAGTTAAAGCAAATGTTTAATTATGATCTAATTTTTGTTTCAGACGGGTGTTCGACTGCCAGAAGGTGCTAGTGCCGCTTTAGCAAAACCAACCAAGTATCATTATTATCCACACAATCAACATATTTATCTACTGCCAGAATGTGCAGTACAACAAGTTTGCAATGCTGTTTATGTGAGGTTGAATTTTACCCAACCTTTGTGTGCTTGTCCGGGACGTTACCGAGATCCATGCAGTGCATCACTTGACAGTGACGATTTGCATACTACTGAATTGGTCACCGATCCACGAACCAAGGTAGGGACAATTTTTCTTATTAAACATCTGAACTTGGGTCACTGTCATAATCCTAACGGTCAATGATTTTATGGCAAAGGTTTTTAATTCGGATTTCAAAATTTCAAATCACATGTTATAAAAAAAGATAAGAAAGCTAAAAATTAAAACACTACTTACAAAAATGTAGAAGAACAACTCACCTGTAACAGAAAGAAAAGGGAAACATTAAAAATTGCCAATTTTCCAAACAGCAATTAAGTACACCCGTGTAGAAATTGACATAATTAAGCCATAACATGGCATGAAACACCTTCCCAGATCGGGCCATGTTATGGCCTACACAATGATCAAAAGATCTGGCCCCGATTTGGGTCATGGTTAAATTTCTACACGGGCATCCTTAAATTCCTAATCTCTCAAAATATAAATAAGTTCAGTTTAAAAAAATCTACAAATTACACCCTTTAATGACATTTTCATCTCAAATAAGATCCGAGTTGTTAGAGTAGTCTTATCTGCTAAACGATAATTCACTTGCATTATAAACGGGTCAGCCTATTAAATAACACCTCTACAAGGAGGAGTTACCGGACTTAAATACAATAATCAGAAAATGAGAATAAGAGTAAAACCAGGAAGTAAAATATGGGATGAATCAGTAGTAACAGTCCATCTCTAAAGATACAGGCATTCACGAGAGAGAGGCTGTGCGCACATCTTTACTCTCAATATATATATAGATATAATACTACCACTATACAGCAGTAAATGTTAAACAGTGAAACTTTAGTAGACAAAAACCGTTCGAGGAAACGAATGACAACGCTCAAACTGTACTTGAATGAGTAAAGTGATTTCTTGTGTAATACCAAAGAGGAAAAACACTTAAGTGCCCTATGTTTTATTCACCTTTCAATGTGCTACCAACATTCCACTTCATGCTCTCTAAATTTGAATTAGTTACATGTTTATCATTTAAATTACTACTTCTTTCATATTATTAACAGTCTTTTAAATTATAATTCATTGTTCGAAAACTATACTTTTGAGTGGTAAACGTCCAAGTCCAAACAGAATTGACAACCGTTCTGCTAATTTTCATTTTTGTTGAATTTTTGTTGACGATTGTAAAATCGTCAACAAAAATTCAACAAAAATCAAAATTAGCAGAACAATTGTCAATTAATCTTCATTTTAGATAAGAGGTAAAAATAAATCAGGAAAATAACACAAAGTTCTGCTAAATAAAATTTGCAGCTCAAAGCATCTCATCTCTATCATAAATATAGTCGTTAAATTATCACAAGGGGAAATTGTCATAATTATCAGTATAATTATCATTATCATTACCACCATCATAAAAAACAGAGAAATCATATAAACCCGGAAAAGAATATCATGGAACTAAAAATTAATTACAAATCATTAGATTCAGGATATTAAGAATTCATAATTTAAATACTGTCATAAAACTGTGTCCGACAAATTGGTTCCAGATGCATTCACTCGGAAATGATGTGAATGCCATTGGTATTCACAGGGAAAATACCTCGCAAACTTGATTTTATTAAAAACGATATATTTCCCTTGCGGAAGTTGATATTGGTATATGTATATATATATATATATATATATATATATATGCGAGTATAAAAAAACATTATACATAAAAGCTTAACTATAAAGTGGAGGGAACAAACTGTCTGTTTGAGAGAAGTCGTTTGAAAATTATTCGTGGGAGTAACTCGAGGAGACCGCAAGACATATCGCGTATACGCAAACGCATGCTCTACATACCTACATCGTGGCACAAAACCGGTGGCCTGGGATATGCTCGTAGATATGCTAAAAGTAGGCGAACGGTTTATTTTCAAGTCAGACAGGATCTTCCAAGTCGATCGAACGGTAATATCTGCGCGATGCACTCATGTATTGCATTCATCCATGTTTGACAGAATTTTTCCCAAAAGAACCGAAATCTAATGTTTTATGCACTATTTCAGTACAGTTGCACTATTCACTATTTTCGGTAGTTGTATACCACATTCATGTAGGATACCAATACTCGGCGAAATTGCCACAAGCACCTATACCAGTTTGCTATTTACAAAAGCTTTTCGCTTTTGCGAAGTGAGAATAAAAAAATCCTTACACGAATATTAAATACCAAGATTAAAAATGGTTCTCCGTTTTGAAAGAAGCAAAAAAAAAAAAAAAAAAAATTGAGAGAAAATGGTTTCACTGCTGTAATAATAGGTTTAAAAGGAAGCGTTGATAATTCAAGACAGTATGTAGGATTACAAAGAGGTTTTGAGTGAGCCGGCAAAATCGTTGAGCTAAGGAATACCGATCTCGTCGATGCAAGACGGCCAAGGAATATAAACTCCAACGATACTCTTTGCTCGTAAATTCGAGACCGGCAACTAACTAACGACTCGCGCTTCTCTTTCCGTACTCGTAAATACCGCGCGGGTTGAAGCAAAACGCATCATGCGACGCCTAAGCAGCCTCGTGTATCTATATATAACAGAAGAATCGGGGTGAAAAAATTCAGATAAAAGACTATATGGTTTCGATATGCACACTATATATATGTTATATAATTTAATACACTTATAGCTAGTTTAATGCTTATACCTAAGAGATAGAGAGATTCTCTCATATACACATTGTAACGGTTCGATATCACCTAGCCGCCAGACACAATGTCCCGATACACAAATTACTGCAGAACAAAATAATAATGCCAGTTTTATGTCTGTAGTTTTCGAAAAATTCAATTCTGATTTCATTCTGTAATCTGTTACTAATTTTCAGTTTATCCTCTAGATTTTTTTTTTATTGCACCTTGATTACCGCGCCATCGTCATTTCTTTCTTCTTTCTACGGAAAGTTGCAAACTATATTTCTCAGCTAATTTTCTAATTTAGAATTATAACTAAAAAGTGGATAGGAATAGTTTAGGTTCGAAAAGGTGCTGTACGAGAACTAAAAAGTAAACCGAAACAAATCATCAAGAGTAGTGTTTCATTTTAGGTTTAGTATCATACTCGATTTTGTAGCGAGGTTCGTGTCTATAGCTCCCAACAAATCAAAAGTTTAGCTTCAAAAAGTAACAACTATCAACGAAATCAAAAATCTTGTTTTGGAACTAGAGTACCAGGAGTACCCAGGAGTAACACACTTGAGTATTTTCAAGGAGCAATACGGAGCAATAAATCCAAAGCAGCACAAAAATCGAAAAGAACAAAATAGTAACAAAGTAGTATCAAATTCCAGACCATATTATCTAACAGATTACTATCGACAACGCAGCGGAATAAAGTGCAACACCAACACACATAAATCAGACTAATGAAAAGAAGAAGATAAAAAAAATTTCAATCAGGTATTTCTATCAGTGCGCGCCTAAGTCAAATGAAAAATGTCAACCTACGTCGGCAACTTGTAAAAAAAGTCCATATACACTCGAGTGCTGAATCATGAAGGCGAATGGAAACATCCGGAAGTGAATACCAGTCGAGATTATAGAAGCACGCGACGCTATCGGTAAAGAAGGGAAAAATGAGGTCGGAAAGGTTAACGAAAAAAAGGAACAGACTCACTTGGACATGAATTAGACGGCACTGGTAATGAACGAGTAGGCGAACCTGTATATGCCCGATACGCGCTCTGAGATATATGCCTTGAGGATGTGCAATAGAATATGTGGAGCGAACGGACGCTCTATAGCAACATAGTAGTGTTCTTGCGTTCTGCCAACATTTTTCCTTATACTCCCTCTCTATCGTTAGCTAACCGAGTGTCGAAGAGTCCACATTAAATCGATATCTGGTGCATATCGAGGTCCACAGTAGATTGACCCAACAGAGAGGATCGCCAATATCCTGCAAGCTCTTTTTATATACACAACAAAAAGAATCTGGCTGAAAAACACTTTTGCTACAATAAATTAATTACAATAAAGCCAATTTCATCCATTTACGAACAAGAACCTAACATAACGGAAAATTCGTATCTGCGAGAACAACCCAACCCCTATAGGGAAGTTAGATCATCAAATCCTAGCTTTTAATTACAACAGCGAAAAAAAAGATTTCTATCAATATCGCAATATCGCATTTTCCAAATAAGGATCATTCGATAAGGAGTGATTGGACAAATGAGCAGGTCTGTTCATCATTCTCGCGCTTGTGTTTTCTTCGAGAGACAAAAGTTGCTTTGAGTAGCCGACAAAACAAGATGAACCGCGGCAACTCGTTGCAAGAAACTTCTCATTCACTTTCAACCGGTGTGACAAGCTCTCACAGCGACATCAACACTCTCATAAAGATGTATATATACATTCACGTATCACACACTCCGAGTCACATGCAATCCGCAACGTATATACACTTGGCTCGTGACATTCGTTCCATACAGTTGCACTTCCGCTCTTATATGGAATCTTTTTCTTTTCTTCTCTTTTTTTTATACAAAAGAGAAAAAAAGTAGAGAAAGTTCGGCTTCACGTCTTATACTATAATTATGCATTTCAATTCTTTTCCAATTCCCGAAGAACTACGAAAGTGACAATAAAAAAAAATGCTGACAATAAACTCCAAATATCAAAAATTTTACTATAGTTAAGACTGTTAAGAGTAAATCCATAGAAAAGTGCGCCTAAAAAGAAATGGAAAAAATAAAAGGATTTAAATTGAAAGATAGTAAGAGGAAAAAAACAAATAATCCCAATTTGCTTCCTTCTATTGTTATACACGTATACAAAATAAACGTGCACAGTCATCCCGTTTTTCAATGCAAAAAGATAAATGAAATTCCTCAGTGCAAGAGATGCCAGTAAATCTGATTTCATGACTTTACTAACAGTGTGTAAAGGATATATAATATGTGCAAACCTAAAACAAAAAGCCCAAAAGATTGCAATCGAAAAAGAAATGAAAAAAAATTTTAATTCCAAACAATGAGGACTGTCCCCTCCATTTTCTATTCTCGATCTAATTACTTTCACCGATAAG